TAAACCACCAAGTTATGCCTCCCATTCATGATAGTGCTTTTGCATCCTCATATATCTAGCTTAATTTTATGTACATGAGAATTGTAGTAACGCTTATAACATTATAAAAAATGTCTATTATAAATTTATAATGTGTGTTAGTCATGTGTCAGTATCACTGTAAAGAAGTTAATATATATATATAAGTCGTGTCTACGAGTTAGAAGAAGATCTAATTGATAGCGTCTATTTCTAGAAATGGTTGAGGAGCAAGATAAATTGCTTCCAATAGCCAACGTAGGGCGGATCATGAAGCACATCCTCCCCCGGAATGCCAAAATTTCCAAAGAAGCCAAAGAAACAATGCAAGAATGTGTATCAGAATTTGTAAGTTTTGTAACCTCTGAAGCATCAGACAAATGTCGCAAAGAGAATCGAAAAACACTGAATGGAGATGACATTTGTTGGGCTCTCAGTACATTAGGGCTTGATAACTTCTCCGAGGTTATGTCGAGGTACTTGCACAAGTTTAGGGAGTTTGAAAGACAGAAAGTTGAACAAAACAAAGCCTCAAGTAATGAAGAGAAAGATGAAGTAACCAGCAATGTTTTCGGCCTGAAGCCCAACTCTTCAGCTCTATTAGAGTTCGGAATTCTTGAGAAGGGCGGAAGCTCATCTGCAAAACGGAAGTAAGAGAAATTGTACAAGATTGTAACTGACCCTTGAATGAACTGTGACAAGTACTTTTAAAGTAACTTTTAAAGCTTTTCGTTGGTGATTTAATCCTCTTTTTCTTGTAACTTTCGGGATTAAAGGAAGCCATGTACCTTCTTACATCAAAAATATCTCGATCATATATGTAATTTACTAATTTCCTTTAGTTTTTGAAGATTTGGGATTGCAGTAATTGTGTTTGATTTATGAGCATAAAGAAAGAGTACGAGCTAAATCATGAAACCCTATCACGGAGAATATTTTTAACATTGTAAAATTTATTTCTCCATCTATTGGTGGAGTTGGATAAATGTAAATCGGATCTCTTCTTCTCTTTCTCCGGTTCTCCCTCTGGATCTGTACTAGCTTCAGTAAGAGGTTCTAACTGGATCTTGGCTATACAATCAGGATCAATTAGGAATGAAATTCGACATGAATTAGGTCTTGACTGATCTCATTGTTGAAACTTACTATGCCAATAGCATTGCTGATCGTCGATAATCCTTAAGGATATTGCTCACTTTCGAAAAAAAAGGATAAAATTACATTTTCAGTCATCCGACTGTATTATCTAATGTTTTGGACTCATCTCCCTCATATCCTATAGAATTCTGGGTTTAATTTATAATGTCAAACTAAAAAATATACTGTGATTAATTCATGATAGACAAAGAGGGAAATAAATTTGCATCTTTGGCCATACCTTCTGAACATATAGATGTTCAAAAAAGTTTGTGATTATTTCTGTTATAGGGAGATTGTCTATTTACTACTTATATTTCTCCAAACCCTAAAATAAAGTATTATTCTTTTTGTAAATTATATACACAAGTTTCACAATTTCTCTTAATAAATTCATATTTATAAATTTCTCATATGTATGAGAGACATAGTCAATGTTTTCTTAAATAGTTGATTAGCTAAAAACATAGTTTCATTTGAGGAAAGATAGGCTTTTAGCAGCCCCTTTTTATATCAGCATTGTCAAAGGTTCCAACATTACTAGCTAGTGCCTCACTGACGCTACTGGTTTTTTTTTTTGCCTTCTTTGTTCTTCTTTTATTTTGCTTTGCATTAGCATTCATTTCTGGTTTGTTTGTTATGTTTTTGTTGATGGGTGGATGATGATTGTCTTTCTGACGGTGGTGAGCCGCAGTGGCAGCCACTATGGTTCATTTTGTGTCTTTCTATTCCAAGCCTCCTCTACATTTAGTGGCACGGGGCACTGATATGTTTGCCTGGTTTTGCCCTATTCATGTTGCAATAGTGCGAACTAAGTCCCATATCGGTTAGACATGTTGTGGATGACACCTAACACGTTAACATGATTTTGGATGGAACCTCACCTCCATACAATTCATTGATTTTTTTATATACGAGCATCATCTACTCGTCTTATAATTAGTCTCAGCAGCTTTTCCATTCTGTTCTTAAGGTTACCTTTGGATTAGTACTTAATTTCATCTGGTTGGATCATTTTCGAGTGTTGGTTCCAATCTTTCTTCTAGTTGGCTAATCTGTAACATGCTTTAGTTCTGTCTTCTCCCCAAATGTTGAGGTGATTTTGTGCGTACTTAGTCAACTTGAATTAAGTTGTACATATTTGTCCAAAGATCAAAACTTCTTTGGTTACTTCTACGATATTTAGATTATATGTTCTGATTCCTTTATTCTTTTCATTATTTGTTTGATTTTTAGTTTCTAACACATCACATAGGTTTCAATCTATTATCACACACACACACACACTATGGAGCAGCAATCAACCTTGTAGTCGGCCCATATACTCGATATTAATTTCTCATCACAGATAATTACTCAAAATTAGATTTACCGTTCACCTAAAAAAAGGATTAGGGTTTTTCAAACACTTGAACCTGGAAAAACATGATTTTGGTACGTACAACTTCTTCTCTATTGTTCTTCAGCATGTAACTTTGGGACCACTTTTCCAATACTTTCCTTGGATTGAGTTGCAAATTATGGGCAGTGAGAGTCATGAGTGAAAAATGCTGAAATCTCTCTCATCTTTTCATTTGTTGAGGTTAAAAGCATAAACTTTAAAATAGTGAATAAAGGTTAAACAATATTGACCTCGTCGACCTTTTACACGAGAACAAATTCAAAGTACAACTCGTTCAAATAAAATCAGATTATTCATTTTATGGATCTACGTGCTCTCTTACTTTTTGAAATGAAGTTATATGTAATGACGTCATGGATGACATGTTCATACCTATATATGGTAAAATGAGAACAAAATGTCAAACACGAAAGAAGGCTCGACATTCAAAATTTCAGATTATACTCAAGAGCACAAACAAAGAAATGAAAAAAGAGGGACAAAAATTTAAAAGGTAAGAAATGAAAAGAGAGAGGGGACCATTGCTCATTAATATTTTTTTTTTAATTAGACTAGCAATTCGCTAAAAATAAACAAACCCAAAATTAAATGAAATTATTATTTTGCGTTCAAAAAAATGACGTTTGATTTGGTTGTTATTAAATGATAATTAATTTGTCTCCCTAAAACATGGCTCTGTACATGTAGTTTTGTTCATTTGCAAATATTGTCTTCCCCATTTTAACGTCTCTGAAAATAGAATAAGTCATGGTTCCATTGATTCGTAATTTCCTTCATAGGCGTTCCAATCACAATCACCATTCTACATATCACAGCATGTCACAACCACCATTATAGTTGGGAGTCATTGGGAGTTCGTAAATATATGCAAAATTGTGACTTTTGTATTAACGTGACTTATTCACGTAACATGCTGAATTATGGCTTGATGCACGTGTGATGTAAAAATAAAATATAGCGATTATGACATCTATAATTTTAGTTGATGAAATTTAAAACAAAATATTATTTATTTCAAGGTCCAAATAACTAATATTTGTTTCTACAAAAAGAAATTTATTTTTTTTAGTAGCTTGTAGAAAAATTAAGTGTTGACGAGGCTTAGATCAACCTACGCAATATAATAAATTGTATGGAAAATAAAAGAAAAACAATATCCAAGAAATTATGGTTACCAAAATTCAAATTTTCCTACCTAAATCAGTTAGCATCAGTCGATTACTGTTCTCCCTATATCTAATTATTATTGATTTTTCCTACCTAAATCAGTAGGTTAATTTTTTACATGCTTGTAAATAAACTACAACTCCCAATTTCATTATACATCCTACGTCTTCTCAAAAAGGATAATGTTTGGATCTATAAATATTACTAATTTACACATTAATTTGCATATACACTAAATAATGGCAGATTTCAGATTTATTTTTCTAATTTTTACTTTGTTCTTTCTTCATCCTTTGCAAGTGAGTAATGCCCAGAAATTTCACCCTCTTGATTCCTTGAAGAGATGCCATTTTGATAAAATTTATCAACTTGGCGATTCGTTATCCGACACCGGCAATCTAATCCGAGAAAGTCCGATGGGATCTCGTTCTCCTTTTGCAAGGCTTCCCTACGGAGAAACTTTGTTCGGGAATGCAACTGGTCGATGTTCAAACGGTCTACTAATGATCGACTTTTTCGGTAACATGTTATCTACTCAAGAACCTTTTTCTTTATTTGGTAATTAGTTTTCTCTCTTCACTCAAGAACTATTTCTTTATATTACAGCATTATCAGCTGGTCTTCCATTGCTCAATCCTTACCAAGAAGCCGAAGCGAACTTCGAACATGGCGTAAACTTTGCTGTGGCTGGATCCACTGCTTTACCTGTAAAAGAACTGGCAGATATGAATATTCTCTCTCCAGTTACCACGAGTTCACTTGATGTACAACTGGATTGGATGCACTCTCATTTCAATTCAGCATGCAATAATCAAACAGGTTAATTTCTCATTCAATCTTCAGTAAAGCAATTAATTACTCATAATTACAGTAAGAAATAATTCATTTTCTCCCCTTTTTTGGTTTCAGATTGTGCACAGAAGAACGCCAATTCTCTCTTCATGGTTGGGGAAATAGGAGGTAACGATTATAATTATGCACTAATCCAAAGAAAATCCATTCAAGAATTGAGAGAGATGGTACCACAAGTTGTTGCCACCATCTCTAATGCTGTTAGGGTGAGTTCTGTTCTTCTTCTTTTTATATAGTTCATCCTTTGTAGATGTATTCTAACTATTTTTTTCCGAATGAAATAGAGAGTAATCGATTTTGGGGCGACACGAGTAGTTGTACCAGGAAATTTACCTATCGGGTGCCTTCCAATCTACCTTACCGGTTTCCAGACAAATGACTCAACTGCTTATGATGATTTTCATTGTCTGAAAGACCTAAATAACTTTTCAATCTATCATAACGAGCGTTTGCAACAAGCCATCAAGGAGTTGAAGACCCAATATCCAAATACTACTATTCTCTACGGTGATTACTATAATTCCTTCCTCTGGGTTTTATCTCGAGCCCGATTTCTTGGTAAGGAAACAAAGATTAATCTCATCGTTACAAAACAAGTAGACTGTAATTATTTTACATGATAAATGACTGAATAATATGTTGATTATGGCAGGGTTTGATTTAAATTCTGTACAAAAAGCTTGTTGTGGAAGTGGAGGGGCTTACAATTTTAATCTAGCAAAGATGTGTGGAGCTCCAGGGGTGACTGTGTGTCCCAATCCATATAGATACATGAGCTGGGACGGTGTTCATTTGACTCAACACGCATACAAATCGATGGCCGGATGGTTGATACGCAACATGTTAACGAAGTTGCAATGCCATATTTAAGGATCTTTTTTCTTTTCAATTTTCCAGTTTCATGAGAGTTAATGTTTATGTTAGGAAAGTTATATTGTAATTTGATTCCTTGGTTTCTTAAGGTTTTTGTTTCAATTTAAGATGGCACAAAGATATTATCATAAAATATGTACCTTGTAGTGGCTCTGGCTCCTGATCAAGTACCAGAAAAATCTTGTTAATTTAACGCTAACATTCATAGTACATTTATCCTTGGTCTCCAGTACTCTCATCGTCCGATTATCAAAATTATCAGAACTATTCGCTGAAATTGCGGACAACAGTCTGTACACACTTTAAATCCCAGGTAAAATCAGGTACTTTATCCTCAACAGCTTCGGATACGCCGAACCCCAACCCTTTCATCATACCATCCTCGTCTTTCCTCCTGGGATCAAAATAATTCTACCGTACAAGCCTCTCCACCAGCTCTATCCACTCTGGCCATGGGTGCACCAACTCCACCTCCCCTTTCACATTCGCCAACCCTTCACTACGATTCTCATCCTGAATCTCTTGTACAAATCCAGACTGAAGTTCCTCTTATGTGTTAGATTTGGAATATCCCAAGTTCACTGAGTTTTTGTTGGAAAAAATGATTTATTGGGGCTGTTTT